AAAAAAGAGAGAAAGAAGGAGAAGGTGGTAAAATCCTGTGCTTGGTGGTGCCTGCAGAGATTTGCAATGGCAAGTGTAGATTTTTATTTTTATTTTATTTTTATGCTGCTGTGCATATTTTTGTGACTTCTTTGTAAGACATCAATGTGGATTTAAGATCACTTGCAGAATTACTGCAATTAAAATATCCTCACTGTGTCTGAATTGGCCTCTGGGTTTTTTTTGTCTGAATGGCCAATGATTTCAGTGACATGGCTTTCAAGGCAACGTCCAAATCCCTGGTGTGAATCCTGCTCCCAAGTGCCAGGATAAGGAAGGGAGGAGAGGATCATCTTTGCCTTGACAGCAGAACCCCTGTCTGGAGGATTTTTTTAGAGGTGGATACAAGAAGACATCGATGGGTGCAGCCTCACTACATCACATATAGCTGCTGAGAAGGATTTGAAAACTTGACCTGGAAAACGTCGCAGCCATAAATCAGCAAAGAAGGGGAAAAGCGTTACTGGAGAAAATTAATGTGTTTTGGCTGGTGGGCAACAGGTTCACCAGCTTTTTCCCATTAATGGAGAATCATGTTTGCACGACACCTACTTTGCATTAGCAAAACAATAGGTGTTTTGAATAAGACAGCATGCCAAAGGTGGAGGGTTTTGGGGTTTTTTTTTCTATGCATTTGGCTTATTCTCATAGATGGGAGATGCACACACCTCCCTTCATCCTTCTGCCAGACGTGGCTAATCAGTGATGATATTATTTTAAAAAATAAATAAATAGAATTGCACCATCTTCCACAGGGCTTGCCTTGGCCCTGGCTCCATGTTTATGTTAATTCGCTTAGCTGGCTTGAGGAAAAGGCTTGGTGTTGTCTTGCTGTGTGGTTTGGAGGGAGGTGACGTGGCTGGTGATGGACGCTGTTGGGTTTGCAGGTGACCTGAGCATCAGGGCCGCACGGCTCTGCAGCATCACCCTGTCCACCTTCTCTCTTCTCTGGGAGTGCTGCAGGCCAGGTAAATCCTGGTAGAAATGGGTGCTATGTGGGGTTGGGGTTTTTTTTTGGTCTGAACCTGGGAGTTATCTGTGTTTGAGCAGTGTGATCTTGGCTGCTCCACCACCCTCTGGTGTCTCCTGCAAGGCTTAGATGTGGTCAACATTGCATCTCTGAGGGCATTTGCTGTTGGACATGTGTTCTATGGGCTTTTTGAGGAGCTGGTTTCTCCCTCCCTTGGCTAGACAGTGGCATCCTTCACCAGCAGCATTGGAGATGTCCTGTGGAGCAGTGAGCAGTTGCTCTGTGGCATGAACTGATGCTCTTTCCAGCCACGTGCAGTATTTTTTTGCAAAGTTTTTGGCCACTCCAGGTGGACAATGGATTCAGCTGGGATGAGCAAACCTTTGGCTGCAGCTCAGACTTTGATTCAGACCCCTGCCATGGATTTGGAGGGTTTCTTTGCTCCTGATTGTTTCTTAAAGCAAATATAAGACAAAGCAAAAGGCACAAAAACAAACAATAAAAATAGAAATAGAAGGTTTGTGGATGCAGCCAGGGAGCTGGTTTGGGTGTCGAGGCTGCCTCTGAACTCTGCTTGCAGGGGCACGGACAGGAAGGGGGTTAACCCAGGTGTCAGGTAGGACATGTGCTGCTGGGGCTGGAGGGTGGCCAAATCCACCTTCTCCCCATCTGTTTTGGATTAAGACCAAAAAAACAACAACCCCTCCATGTCAAAACCACCTGCAGCTCTGGAGAAGGAGGAGGGATGGAGAGGATCATCTCTCCCTGGTCCCCAGCTTTGGGGGGCCATGGGGGATGCAGTGGCCCTGCAGGCACGTGTTGCGGTGAACGATTAACTTCTTCAGGCTGAGGAACTGCTTCATCCAGGGATATTTTTTTTTGACCTTTTAGGGGACTGTTGTCCCCTGGGAAGCTGTTGATAAACATAATTAAGGAGGGCTGGCGCAGGGCTTTGAAGGCACCGCGTGTGCTCCCGTCTTGCTACGTGTTACTGTGCGGCGCTGGCGAGATACTGAAGATCCCACCGTGTGGAGGTTTTGAAGCTGCTGTGGTTTCTGTGCCGCCTGCTCAGGGCTGTCAGGAGGGCGAGTTCGGTGTGTTTTTTGTTGTTTTGTTGGTTTTTTTTTTTCTTTTTCAGAGACTTAAATTAACATCAGACATGCAAAAGAGGGTGAGAAAGTGTTACGGTTATAAAGAACGAATTTGGCTGGTGGAGGAGTTTCAGCTGGTGGGAGGGGATGGGGACCAGGTGTCTGGCACCCCCATATCTGCACTTTCACCATCCCTGGGCTGTATGTGTCTGTCCCAGTGTCATCCTCATCCACGTTTTAGGGACACTTCAGGTTTTTTGTGTTACCTCTGGTTTTACTGATGCACCGGTGTGGCTGGTAGCATCCCATGTCGCTGAGGTTCTCCCTTCCTTGCTGGAGGGATTTTCTGGGCTGAGGCTGCATCTCTCCCACCGTGGTTGTGCCTCACAGCTCCATGGGATGGGGTCAGAGCAAATCAGTGCTTCAGCAGCAGCCTGGTCCTCAGCTTTGGGTATGGCTCACTGGCTTCAAAATAAGCTGGCAGTGACTTTTGCAGAAGCAGAGGCACCTGGTGCAGTGGTGTCAGCATCTAAAAGGAGAAATGGTCCATCACCTGTGCAAAAGCATCCCGGTTACCTGGGCTCTGATATCTGCTAGCCTGTTGTAGGCAAAATATTTAGGTTTTTTTGCAATTTTAGGAGACGAAAGCCCCACAAACTTTATAAAAGCAAAGGTGAAAAAAATACCACAAAGTTATTTTTGGTTTTGCTTTTTTTTTTTTCCTTTAAGATGAGCAGGAAAAAAGCATGCAGGGGATTTAGGAATCTAAGCAAGTACAGAGCTCCTTTGTTTTTAATTAGCTGCGTTGTTTTTAATTGCTACTATGCTTGATATATAACCCAGCCTAAACAAGAATAGCTTATTGAATGGGGGACTGACTATGAAAGGCACCGTGAGGAGAAGGGCTGTTCTTCACAGTTGATGTATTTGTATTTCAGTGCTTCATTTAATAAGTCTGTTTCCCCAGGGGGCTGTAGCAAGTAAATCATGCCAACAGATTGTTCTCTGCAAACTGGCTTATTTTTGTAATTAGCGAAACGTTAAAGCTGTAACTGCATAGAAAGCGATCTGGGGAAGGAGTTAACATAAAAGAATTAGTAAGCAAAATGTAATACTTATTGTTTGATAATGTTTGTATTGATTGAATTGGTTTCTGGACAGTTTGCTGTCTGTGATAGTTGGTTTTTCTGCAGCGTTGTGAAATGGGAGAGAAATTCAGCAGGTGTGCACAGTGAGGGTAGTAAGGTGTGGATTTTTGGGGGGAGCATTTTTTTGGGAATTGTACTTCCATGGCCAGGTGGACCTGGTGGAGAAGCCTTGCTGGGGGTTAAAGCCATCCTGCTCATCACCAGAAACTGCCAGTGTTTCCCTTGCTTTATTTTGCTTTTCTCTTTTGTTTTCCAGTTATATGAAAAATACGGTGTCACCATGAGTGGAGTATTGAAAAGGAAGTACGAAGAGCTGGGAGATGACAATACCTACTGCTCCTCCTCCTCCTGCTCACCTCTCTCCTCCTCGGCGTCTTCGGGCTGGGAGTCGGATGAGGAGAGCTCACGTGGAGACCACAAGCCCAGCTCTGCCTTAACACCCAGCTTTACCCGTGAGTATCCTCAGCAGCCCCTTTCCAGGGATCAGACATGCCTCTGCATGGGTTTTTGTAGCATGGTGGTGAGTCATCACCATGTGGAGACCCCCTTGGAGCACACCTTTATAGGTGGAAGCAGCCGTAAGGCCAGCTCCCTGTCATTACACCAATTTACCTTATTTTTATAATCAGCTAGCATCCTCAGGGTGGTCTTCCTCAGCCCTTCCTCCCAGCATTTATCATTCCTTTATAACGTTTTTGCTGAAGTCCAGATTTCCAGGAATAGAAACCCAAGGACCTGGGTGCATAGAAGCATGAAGATAGTGCTGTAGAAACATCCCACCATCCCTCAGTGGCCTGTCAATCTCTTCCACAGGCAAAAAACTAAACAGACAGCAAAGGCCCGTCATGCTGGTTTTTAAAAATGATTAACCAGTAGCGTAATTACCATTTCAGAACTCATTTCCTACTTAAGTTGGGTACTTTGCCAAAGAACGTGACACGTTTGACATTGCCTCCGCTGTTAGTATAGATAAATGCTGTTTGTTTTCCCAGCAACATCGGTTTTGAGAGCTTTTAGGAAAACACACAGAAGACACAAGGTTGTAAAATCCTTTATCTGCCACGCGAAGGGAAAAATAAAAAAATACAATAGGGGCACATCTTCACAGAGGAGAAATAGTCCAACCTAGTAAATTATACTCAACACCCACTGTATATAGCAGTTAAGGTCCACTTAGCAGACACACACAACGTCTGAAAAAGCTTTAGAAGTCTTGTAATAATAGAGAGTCTCATTCTTGCTCGTCTTCCCAGGTTTTGTGACAAAACAATGAACTTTTTGTATTCTTTGGCTCGATTGGAAAAGGGTCAGGAATGGGAAAACAATTTTGGAGGAGGGGTGCGGGGAGAGAGAAGCAAATGCCAAAGTGCAGCAGCTCAGCCGACAGATGATTGTGGTGGTTAACTTGCCTTTTGATAAAGAGCTAATGTTTTAGAGAGATTGAGTCAAGGTTATTACGAAAATGCAACGCGCAGTGCAGAGATACCATCAAAGCAACTGCAGAGCCCAGTGTGAAACCCTCAGCTATTTAGCAGAAGCTGCTGACACAGCTGAGTGAACACTTTCTGTTTTTTTGGGGGTTTTTTTTCATATGAAACTGAAATGCTATATTTTGGCAAGTGAATCTTGTGAAATGTGGGTGCAGCTAACTGTCCAATCTTGCACTTTCCCAGCCTTTGGGGCCAGCCAGACCAGCTGAGCCCTTGGAGTTTTCAGGAGTCACCCATCCTTCCTGTGTTATTTTTTTCCCCAGTATTCTCCATGGTGGCAACCAAGACATCCATGCACCAGCAGAGAATGGGACCAATAAAAACCCCACCACTCTGTTCCTGACATGCTTGTGCAGCAGAAAAAGCAGCTCTGTAACCCAGTTTCACTGCATTTCGCTTTGACTTCCATGGCCAGCTATGTTCATGGAAACTGACTGACTCTGAAGCTGCCCTGGCTAATTAGTCCCCCTCCATCTGCTACGTTTGCACGTGCAAATGTGCAGAACCAGGTATCTCTGGAGAGGCTCCGCTTTCAATGGTCTGTGGCATGTTTCAGCAGTTCAAGATAAACCAGAGTCATGTATTGCCATGTTTACCCTGGGATCACCTGCATAAAGATTAACATCTTTGCAGCTGCTCTCAAATGAGTCTCTTGAGAATAAACTATAGATTCATGGTTCCTCCCAGTGGATGGTGAAAGGAAATACCAGAAAAAACAGCCAGTTTGGCTGTTTTCTGCCCTGCCACAAAAGCTGGAGCCACGCAGCACTAGGGTGTCAGTGCTCTGGAAGCAGACCATGAGCTCCTGAACGTGGGGCAGGGTGCTTGGGTTTAGAGCAGGACAGTGATGTAGGATGGTTTGTTGCTTGTTCGTTATGCTCTGCTGCACGTGAAGAATAAGCAAATGTTTGTTTCCTGGAGGAAGTCAAGCGGGAAGGAGAAGCAGCAGCCGTTTCTTGGGGTGAATCTGCTCAGTGACTTCGATGCATTTGGACTTGGCTTAGTTTCCTCTCTGTCCTCCTCCCACCTTCGAAGTGTTACATCCTAAAACACCAGAAGCCATCAAGTGCTGTTGTAACCTTGTCCCGCCATGTCCCCATTGAGAAAGTAATTGCAAGTCCTGCCTGTTAGTAGCATTTACAATAATATTTCTCTCCTCTCTGCAGGATGGCAGTACTGACTTTGCTTTTTCTTTTTTCTTCCCCCATTTTTAGCCACGTCTATCCTGAAGAAATCCAAACGACTTAAGAAGAACAATGTGGAGTTTGACCGGGTCACTGTGTTTTACTTCCCACGCTGCCAGGGGTTCACGAGTGTGCCTAGTCGCGGGGGCTGTACCCTGGGGATGGTGAGCAAACACAGCTCCTCCCGGCAGTTCACGCTAGCAGAGTTTTCAAAGGAACAGGAAAACGTTCGTCGGGAGAAACTTGAAGAGAAATTAAAAGAGGAGAAGTTGGAAGCATTGAAATGGAAAGTGAGTAGGACCGTGGGGCTGGGTTGGTGAGGAGCAGGTGGATCTGTTTAATTGATGGACAGTTTTTAGTAGGAGCCTTTCTGAGACCTGGGGACATCTGTCCTTAAGCCTGTTTGGGTCTCCAGAAAATGCAGGCTCCAGCATGGGGTTTTCAACTCAGTTTGAAAAGTGGTGGAAGAGATGCTGAACTCCACATGTCAGGTGTCTGTTGGGTCTCTGGGGACTCTGAGAGAAATTTCAGTCCTGTGGTTGGCCATTATAGGGGGCAGATCTCTCCTTTCTCCTGACCTTGGGGGTGCTGATGGCTCAGTGTCCCCGACAGGTCCCTAATGCTTTGCTCATTTTTTTGCCCTCAGCTAACCATGAACGGCACAAAGGAATCGGAGGAGGCCAACCAGCTCACCATCGATGACATCTCCGATGATGACATTGACGTCAGCAACGTGGACCTGGAGGATGGCTTCTTCCTCCAGCCCTACCCTGCCAAGAAGAGACGTGCGCTGCTGAAAGCTGTAGGGGTGAAGAAGATCGACAAAGAGGAGAAGCGGGAGCTGCACAACATCCGCTTGTCCCGGGAAGACTGCGGCTGCGACTGCCGGGAGGTCTGCGACCCCGAGACCTGCAGCTGCAGCTTGGCAGGCATCAAATGTCAGGTACTGCCCTCGCCTCTGGGCACAGGGGAGAAACCGTGGCTCCAGCTGATGTGTTCGTTAAAGCAGGGGGGTTTGAGCAAGCAGGACAGAGTTAGGGCAGCTTGTAAAATGCATCTGTTCCCACCTGTGCTTGGAGCCAAGCAGATGAGAAAAGCTCTTGGAGATGCTCCCCAGGCTGCGAGGCAGACGCTGCTCCATAGTGTCCGCTTCCCAAATCACACGTGCAGCCATCCACGTGCTGTTGTAGCTGTGGGGATGTGCCTGAGCCTGCAACGTGAGTGTCCTCGCCACATCTGTCCCCATGAGACCCTCTTTGGTGTCTTGTTGGACATGGGCCACGTGGGAATGTCTTGGCAAATGAAAGCTTCTCGCTCCTCATGCAGGGCTGCAATTTCTCCTCCTCCCCTTCATTTTATTTTATTTTTTTTCCCCTTGGTGTGTATCACAACTCCCAGCACGCTCAGGCGAACGTGGGAGTGTCAGCTGAGTGTCAGCCCACAGCCTAGCTGTGCAGAGCACCTGCAAAGTGGACTAATCCTGTATATTCAATTACCTTATTATATTTTTTATTTTTTATGGGTGCCTGCCCAGCTGTGTTGGTGAAGCCATATTCCCTATTCTGGGTGCTGCTCAGTCCCTTGATGCCATGGCTGCAGCCTGGGGGTGATGGAGGGTGGGTGTGCACAGGCAGATGGGTGCACACAGGCTGATGGATGCTCCATGTGTGTGTCACAGCCCCCTCTAGCAGCTGCTGATAACGGGGACATGAAGGTGCCATCCATGCCTGTTGATCATTTTGTCTTTGTCTCAGTGAGGGGTAGGCACTCATGATATAGGTCAGTTATTAAATACCATGTTGCAATATATAAAACTCATGTTTGCCCCCTTATGTCTCCTTTTGGAGTGTTACATTTTGCTTTTTTTGGAACATTTTAACTTTTTTCTTCCATGTGTGTGTCACAGCCCCCTCTAGCAGCCGCTGATAACGGGGACATGAAGGTGCCATCGATGCCTGTTGATCATTTTGTCTTTGCCTCAGTGAGGGGTAGACACTCATGATATAGGTCAGGTATTAAATACCATGTTGCAATATATAAAAACTCATGTTTTCCCCCTTATGTCTGCTTTTGGAGTGTTATATTTTGCTTTTTTTGGAACATTTTAACTTTCTTCAGTTGTACTGAAATCCAACTTTTTTATGACAACCCTTCAAAAGAGCAGAGTGTCTTATTTATTTTATTTATTATTTATTTTTAGTCTGCTTTTAAGCCCCTCAGCTGTTACTTGGTTTCTCAGGGTGAGAGAGTCATGGACTGTTTCGATTTTGTGCCACCAAATTTGTTCCTAACCCTCTGCTTCTCCCACACCAGATGGATCACACCTCTTTCCCCTGTGGCTGCACCAAGGACGGCTGTGGCAACACCGAGGGCAGGATCGAGTTCAACCAGGCCCGTGTGCAGACCCACTTCATCCACACCATCATGAAGCTGGAGCTGGAGAAGCAGCAGCAGAGCAGTGAGAAGGCGGTGGAGGTTGAGCCCCCTTTTCGGGAGCGGCTCCCACCCTTGGGGTGCACGGCAGGGAAGGGCTCTTTGGAGGAGCGTGCGGTGCCGTTGGCACCCGCCTTCCAGTTCAGCCCCGACCTGGAGGCCCTGGGGGAGAACAGCTGCAGCAGCGACATGACGGACTCCTCCATCTCTTCCCACCCCAGCGAGGACCTGGAGGAGCCCTACGAGAGCCTCCCCTCCGACAAATCCCAGTCGGATGTGGACGACGATGGCTTGGCACGCATCCTCCACTTCAATGACTCGGATGCAGAGGAAGAGGGTGGACGTGGCCAGGATGACCTGAATTGCTTCCACCCCGCTGACTTCTTCATCGAGGACCATGGCAGTGAGGCTAAGACTGTCCCTGGCCACTTGTCCCACCTCTCTGAGTGCCTGGACGAGAACGCCAACCAGGACGGCAGGGGTTTGCTGGAGGATGCCACCCACGTGCGGTGTGATGGGCTGTCCTGCTGCTCCTCATCCCCAGCTGAGCCCTGCTCCAAGAGCTATGCTGACCTCAGCCTTTCCTCTGACTCCTTGGATTTCTTCCAGTCCTTCTCGGACTATAACTTGGGACCCCTTTACAACTCCTTAAAGGAGTACGAGAACCTCGATAACTTCTCAGCATTACAGTTTCAGTTGCCTAATTTTCCTGGCTTCCCACAAGCTGGAGATCAGGGCTCTTGTTTCTTGGAGTCCCTCATCGGTTTGTCTGAATCCGTCCCCGAAACCCCAGCCCCTTTCACAGACAATCAACTTTTGGAGGATGCCATCAAGTCATCACTGATGGAGACGGTGAAAGTGTGAGACGCCCGCCTGGCTGGGGCAGCAAGGACTAGTGCCGAAAGGAAAACTAAAGAACGTTCTGGACGGGCAAACTTTCACCAAAAGGCTGATGCGCTACTCAAAAATAAGGAGGAAAAAAACAACAACAAAAAGGACTTTCTAAGGAAACAAACTATTTTTTGGTCTTTATAGAACATGGACGTTTTGAAATACTGCAGCTACAATCAGTTCTCTCGCTGTTTGTGCAAAAATTTCTAAACTTTCAGGGTGGGGTGGGGGGAGGGGGAAAAAAAAGACTTTCACTTAATGATTTTTTTTTTTCCTTGTGTTTTGTATGACCTGTTGAGAAATACTCCTCACTAACGTCGCCAGTCGTACACACAGCCCCTTCTAGAAACGTTTCGACGTTGCGGGAACTTTTTAAGACAACTTTTTTGAAGCTGTATTTATTGTGAAAATTTGTGGTTTGCGTAAGAATTAACCCAACACGCTCTTACGTTTAAATCAGACAAGGTTTACAGAAGAGATCCATACACTATATACATAATCATTCTTCATCTATTTATTGCAAAGCCCAGAATTTAACTAGCCACCGAAGCTTGAACTAGCATGAAACCTTATTTAAATTGGTAATACCTCAGATGTATTATGTGTACAATCATATTTTTTTTTGCATAATATATCTGTATTTATTTATTTCCTACCTGTAGTCCATAAATAGCACTGTGGTTTGTTTATCAATGACCTGGAAGGGCAATAAGATCTTCAGCAGCACCCATCCTAAAGATGACCCTCGTTTTTCTGAGTCTGAAAGGTGTTGGCTGTTTGGTCTTCACATTTCTAAAGGAGCTGGATGCAAGTGGGTGGGAGGGGAGGGATGGGGAAAACATTCGTGCAACATCTTTTGGTCGCTGTCAGCCCTCTAGTAGACATCATGATGGTGTCTGATCTCCATAATACTGCTCTGGAGAGCAAAACCAAGCAAAACCCTCAACTATTCAAGAAATAACATGAACTAGCTCTATTTAAACAAACCAACAAACCCTTCATAAATTATTTTATAATTTATTTAATTTCCTAAGGATTTGGCCATAAGATCTTTCATGATCAATTATGGTGCCTGAATATGCAGAGGAACTGTTCACAGCAGTTAGGGGGTGTAATGAGAAGGACCTTGGCAGTCCCAGGGGGGAATTTGGGAGAGCAAAGCCAACAGCAGCAACACTGTGCTCACGCTCCTCAGCAAGTGCTCCTTAGGACTGCTCAACCTCGCCACTGTCGCCGCTCCTACGACTAGTGAGCCAGACTGCTTATACTTTTTTTTTTTTCCTTATATAGGTAAATTGAGTAAATCAAGTAAGATAGATGGATATGAAGGTTATTGGGTTATTTACCCTTTGGATACAGTTTTAGACGGAATTAAAAATAATGCCTGAAAATAAAGCTGAGAAACTTGAAGGCTTTTGTTTTTTAAAATGAGAGAAATCATCGTGTTTAGGAAGGATGTTGGGGGCCCTCTTGGCCTTTTGCTGTTTAAATCAGTTTGAGAACATAACACTATTTGGCCATGAGATGTAACTGGACATAAAATCTGTACGTCAGTGATACACTAAGTGCCTATGCCAGTGGCATGGAAAAAAAAAAAAAAAAGGCTTTAAAACCTACCGGCTTTAAATCCCTGCTTGGAAAAATGTGAGACTTGGTGATGGGAGCGATGCCT